CTTAGGGTCGTTGTCCTGTTGGAAGGTGAACCTTCACCCCAGGCTGAGGTCCTGAGCGCTCTGGAGCAGGTTTTAATCAAGGATCTCTCTGTACTTTGCTCCGTTCATCTTTCCCTCGATCCTGACTAGTCTCCCAGTCCCTGCCGCTGAAATGATGCTGCCACCACCATGCTTCACTGTAGGGATGGTGCCTGTTTTCCTCCAGACGTGATGCTTGGCATTCAGGCCAAAGAGTTCAATCTTGGTTTCATCAGACCAGAAAATCTTGTTTCTCATAGTCTGAAAGTCCTTTAGGTGCCTTTTGGCAAACTCCAAGCAGGCTGTCATGTGCCTTTTACTGAGGAGTGGCTTCCGTCTGGTCACTCTACCATAAAGGCCTGATTGGTGGAGTGCTGCAGAGATGGTTGTCCTTCTGGAAGGTTCTCCCTTCTCCTCAGAGGAACTCTGGAGCTTTGTCAGAGTGACCATCAGGTTCTTGGTCACCTCCCTGACCAAGGCCCTTCCTTCCCGATTGCTCAGTTTGGCCGGGTGGCCAGCTCTAGGAAGAGTCTTGGTGGTTCCAAACTTCTTCCATTTAAGAATGATGGAGGCCACTGTGTTCTTGGTGACCTTCAATGCTGCAGACATTTTTTGGTACCCTTACCCAGATCTGTGTCTTGACACAATCCTGTTTCGGAGCTCTACGGACAATTCCTTCAACCTCATGGCTTGGTTTTTGTTCTGACATGCACTGTCAACTGTGGGACCTTATATAGACAGGTGTGTGCCTTTCCAAATCATATACAATCAATTGAATTTAGCACAGGTGGACTCCAATTCAAGTTGTAGAAACATCTCAAGGATGATCCATGGAAACAGGATGCACCTGAGCTCAATTTCGAGTCTCATAGCAAAGGGTCTGTATACTTGTGTAAATAAATATTTCAGTTTTTTTTAAATTCTATAAACCTATTTCACTTTGTCATTATGGGGTATTGTATGGGAGGATTTTTATTTATTTAATCAATTTTAGAATAAGGCTGTAATGTAACAAAATGTGGAAAAAGGGAAGGGGTCTGTGTGCTTTCCGAATGCACTGTATATAGCTGGCTATCTTGTTTTTTTATCATCTACTAGCAACATAACATGCCAAAACTCTTTGGGCACTTTAGTACCTACTAACCCGATTCACCTCCATCACCGAAGCCACCCGCCGTTATGCTGCAGTAACACTGGTGGTGTCAGTGGACTTGAAGCCTACATTGACTTTGAGCACAGAACTGGTTTTTAGCCACAGCTTCATGGTTAATCCACTCTTCCACTGTTGGTAGCCATCGTAATGACTGAAGCTCCAGGGGTTCCCCTCCTCACAAAGTGGTCAAATTTCTCACATTTCAACCAAACATGCGTGCCGGTAAACAGTGGTTGTAGTGCACTGCCGCCACCATCAGGCCATTCCCTTCTTGACATCAAAGCCACAACGGATTGTTGGTAAAAATAGCAAAAATAGAAGTGCATAACATATATTTTTTTTATAAACCTTTGCTTAAAGACCGTTTTGATGGAATTTAATCAATCTTCGATTTGTGGAAATATATTGTGCAACCTGCCGTTTAACGGCAGCTAGGCAAGGGCCTGGCCAGGAGGGATGGAAATGAGGATGATGATGGTCATTAAGCTTCATGACTCACAGGCCTGGCATACAGTATGAGAGGAGGGGGAGGGATGGTAGATGGTAATAACAGTGATGTGAATGGAGCAGAATAAGAGTAGGGTAATTTCAAAGGTGTAGCAACAACAGTCCCTCTGGGGTTTAAGAATAGTTGGCTTCAGAGCAACAGTTTTGCAGCTACATTCCCATTTGCCCTAATGCTTGGTGAGTGTCAAGAGTGTTTTATAACACCATAATAACGTAAGAACATGTACAATTTCTAGCCAAAAGTTGTTTGATAAATGCTGACATAAATGAAGGTCACTCTCTCACACACACTCACATTGACACTCCAACACACACACATGCATGCACACACACACTTAATTTGCTCACACACACATAACACGCACACACATTCATACTTACTCCACACACACACACACACACACACACACACACACACACATACACACACACACACACAATCATCACATACGCTGCTGCTACTCTGTTTATCTTATATCCCGATGCCTAGTCACCGTACCCCTATACATACAGTATCTACCTCTATCACTCCAGTATCCCTGCACATTGTAAATATGGTATTGCCGCTGACCCTGGAACTGGCCCTGTATATATTTTAGCTTACTTACTTTCTCATGTTCTTCTTATTTCTTATTTCTATTTCTCGTGTGTTTTTGTTCTACTGGACTGGCATTTCACTGTACTTGTGCAAGTGACAATAAAAACTTGAAGGTCTAGGATAGATGAATTGGGTCAAAGATGAAGACCACCAGATGGGACCATACTTGGTTAACCATCAATGGACCTCAGCCATGCCAGTGTATGTCTTATGATAGACAAAAACAGTAGAAACAATTGTTGAACCCCATAATTGAGATTAGGGCACATCTGTTTCCACGCTGGTGTTGTGCGCAGCACGGTTGGCAGGCATGTCATTTCATAATACACCAGCATTTCGCTACACCCGCAATAACATCTGCTAAACACGTGTATGTGACAAATAAAATAAATTGATTTGATAATACACCAGAGCGAGAGAAAAACAACCTGGCTATCCGGGCAGGTTTCATAAAACCGTCAGAGAGGGCCCAACTAGAAAGCAGGCTCGCTCTAATGAAGAAGTCTCTCTTTATAGTGTGAAAGAAAGCAGGAATGAGGAGAGGAGAAGAAATGTTGTTTTCAATCGTCAGATCCTTTCTGCTTCTCTCTCTCTCTCTCTCTCTCTCTCTCTCTCTCTCTCTCTCTCTCTCTCTCTCTCTCTCTCTCTCTCTCTCTCTCTCTCTCTCTCTCTCTCTCTCTCTTACCCTCTTCCTCCCTCCCGGCAGGGTAGTCCCCTGATGCACCCCAGGGCCCGCCCCCACCCCCTGGCCCCTCCCCACTTGTTTACATTCCTCAAGGTCCCCCCTGTGTGGAGTGCAAATACCCTCACCTTCCTTCTCACTGCTAGCAGGACCAGTATGTGTGTGTGGGAGCCCACTATCTGTTAGCTAAACTTCACAGTCTTTATTTATCCCCTCCTGCTCTCCATATCTTCCCTCTATTTCTCCATTTTGTTATGGTGGTTGTCTAGTGCGTGCACTTATTTACCTGCAACCGGTGAAGGAGAAGGTAAGAGCTGTGGCTGCATTCTATTTTGAAGAAGAAGGGGGGCCTTGAGGGAAGAGGAATAAGGGGGAGGGGGAGAGAGGTAGGAGGGTAACATACTGAGGCAGCAGAGGGAGAGAGCGAGAGAGAGGAGGGAGACATCTGTCTTCAGAAGTGTTACCACCTTTGCCAGTTGGAATGTTGTAGAGGGATCAGTTGGAATACTCCTAGGAGTTCTGTTCTGACCTGGAATGTAGCCTGCTGAGGAGACCTGAGACTTGCTGTAGAGAGATGGATGTGAGTTCAAGAGAACCCTGTGTGTGTGTAGCAGTGTAGCAGTGTAGCAGTGTAGGGGGAAACCAGCATAAGGCAGGGTAGAGGAGGAGGGTATCTTTTATCATGCGTGTCTGGTATTCAGATCCTACAACAGCCCTGTTGGCTTGACTGAAAGGAAAGTACTTAACCCACCAGATTGAGACAGAGGCACCAGGGTCATGTTGCTAACTCTCCTTTGTTGAACTAGAGGAGAGTGACACTGATTGTGGAATGGCGCTTTTACCCTCGTCTTTAACACAGCCTTCGCTTGCACATGGAATACGTCTAATGCATTGAACTGCATTCTGTAAGCACTGGTTGCTTGTCTTGTTAGCTAGCTAGAACTCTTTAGTTTTTTCTTCATTAATCTATCCGAGTCATGAGCGAGAGCGATGATGGATTTGACTGTGCTGCTTTGATCTCTTGACTGTGGTTGTATTTTTCTGCCGAGGGTTTAACAGGGCTGTTTAGACATATGTTGGAGGGTCAGAGGGTAGTGGAGACGGGTTGGTAAATCACCCCACGGTGAGGAATGCAGAGGTCAAACACTGTGACTGACTGACTGGCTGGGGACTCAACTGCACTTTGTCTCTCCTATATCAGCACACAGAGAGACAGATGGATGGTTTCTTGGCTTTCATCACCAGTTAGTTATATAACCTGAACACGAGGAACACCTTTGTCTACCGTACAGCACAAGGTACGAATGAGAGTTCTAGGTGCTTTTTACATGCTTTTTTCTTCACTCTTGCAAAATAATGGTTAGAACTTGGAGTTCTTGGAGTGGGATCAAGTCTAGCCTAAATAATTGTTGGTTGGTGATACTTTTGTGGTTTTATTTAAATCAGAATGGTTAGATTTTGTGATTCGTTTTTTTTGGGGGGGGGGGGTTGAGGGGAAACTATTCTGTGGTGCACAGTTGTCTAGGAGAACACTTGTTGTGTGCAGTTGAAGTGCTGATCATTCCTTTGCCTTGCTGCTCCTACAACCTACTCATTGTCCACCAGCTCTGTAAATGTGGCATACTTTTGAGTTCATGTGTGTGTTCATTTGGATCTTTGTGTGTCAAAAGGTGTACGTTTGCGTATCCCTATATGTTTTTATCAGCGAGCTGTACTTGTTGTTCAGTCCATGTGATAGTGAACATGGGAAATTATTTGTGTATGTGAGAAAGTGATCGTCTTTTGTGGTCATGTGAGCGTCTTTGTGGTCATCCACCTGTATGTGTGTGTGTCCATGTGTGGTCATGTGAGCATCTTTGTGGTCATCCACCTGTATGTGTGTGTGTCCATGTGTGGTCATGTGAGCATCTTTGTGGTCATCCACCTGTATGTGTGTGTGTCCATGTGTGGTCATGTCTGTGTGTGGTCTCCGTACCAGCTGACCGTTTGAAGCCGCTCCATCTCTTGTCATTCCAGTGCCTCGCTCTCAGGGCCTGGCCCAGGACAAAGCAGCCCTGTCCAAGAGCAGCCCTAATGGGGGAGGATCCACCACTATGACCCTGGGCCGTGGAGCCCACCGAGCCACCTCTACCACCAGCAGCCCCGACCACAGCGACCACGCCTTGTCAGCCAGCAGTGACTCAGGCCTGTCCAGCACCTCCCTGTGGACCGACCGAACCCCAGCTCCCATCACCACCAGCACCAGGCCCCAGCAGGGCCCCAGCCGCCAGGAAAAGGCCCAGCTGAAGCGCCTGCTGAGTGGGTTCGGCCTGGAGGAACCCTCCACAGAGGTCGAGGAGATGTCTGAGTGCGGAGGTGGAGGGCCAGGAGGGGTGGCCTTCCAGAAACTGGTTCCAGTCCAGGTGCATGTCGTCGGAGACCCACGGCCCCCCAGGGAGAGGGAAACGGACATCCTGGATGACTTGGTCCTCCTGTCGGGTCATGACCTGCACAGTGTGGACAGCCTGGGGACCCTGTCATCTTCCTGCCACAAGAGCAGCCAGAATTCCCTGCTGTCAGACGGCTTTGGCAGCCCCGGGGGAGAGGAGCTCCAGCACCAGCCTCCCCACCAGCCCCAGCACCACCACCCAGCCCCGGCCACCATGGAGGAGTATGAGAGGGCCTACGCTGAGGCCCGGAGGGGCTGTCTGGGCCTGAGGAGTGCTTCGATCTCCGCCTCCACCCCAGCCAGCATTGTTCCCATGCCCAAGCAGCAGGTCTACCGGCAGGGCAGCTACTCCACACACACCTGGGTGCGCCAGCAGCAGATGGTAGCAGCCCATCAATATGCCTACCTGCAGGCCGAGGAGGGTGAGGAAAGGGAGAGGTACCCAGGGGACAACAAGCAGCAGGGGGGAAGCCCACCCAAACATCCAGGCCCTACAGTGTCACAACAAAGCTCCATGCTGAGGATGGACACTGCTGTCCAGAGAACGGTGGTGGCCCCGCCACAAACTCACAATGAGCAGTCTCCTGCAGTCGTCAACAAGAACAAGCGAGACGAGGAGTTCAACTCTTTGACCGTGGACATTGATAACTCCATCGACCAGCTCAACCAGTTGATTATGGACCTGGACCCCACGTTCATGCCGGTCCCCACGCGCTCTAGCTCGGTCAAGAGGAACGGAGGTACAGGGATGCACGTGAATGGCTCAGCCACCACCACAGCCACCTCAACAGGCTGCCCCAATGGAGTCAGTCATAGACTCATGGATAACAGTACAGCCCCAATGCAAAGCACACAGCAGACAGGTAAGACAGACAGCAAGCTCTGGGTGTGGTGGTGGTGGTGGTGTGGTGATATGAATGGTGGTGGTTGTAATAATGGTGATTCAATAATAGTACTGGTGGTAATGTTAGCGGTGGTGGTGGAAATGTGACGCAACATCTGCAAATAGCAAAGCTTCATGAAAAATGGTGGTGGTAGGAAATCAATGAGACAGTCAGATTTGGTAATGCATCTGTTCTGGGAGAACTTCACCATGAAATCCTCACTTCTCTTACAACACAGTGTTAACTTTACCAAACACTCCTTTGATCTCTCTCCCACCTGGAGTGCAGTTAGCCAGTGTAAATAGCAGGGTTTCTTCCAGCTTTTCAGATGTTTTCAGCATGTTTTTGAGGCAGAGGCCATTGTCGAGGCTTGTCTGTGTACAGCTATCTCACTCCGGAATCAGAGGGAGAGAGAGGGCTGTCATCAGCTCTGTAGAGCTAGGCTCACACAGCTCGAGAACATTCATACACGTGGGACACTATACTGCTGACATGGAATGTCTTTGAAAGTTCCTCACACGCTCTCAGGCCCTACTTGTCATGGGCTCACTGAAGCCACTTTTATCAGTAGAAACACCAGCTTGATGTTTCTTGCTTTCAGAAAACAGTGTCTTCATGTTAAAGGGAATATTCCAGCTGTCAGTGTCAGCAGGTCCCCTTGCATGTTATCCATCTAAAATAATAAAAAACCACAAGTGGAGGAATATTCTTACTTACTTGTATGTTTTGAACTTTGCAATAGTTTCCCTCAAAAAACCCTTGGCTTAACTTTAGTTCAGGTGCCAAATATTTCCCTCTTGACATTAAATTGGTGTATTATGCCCTTTTTTATTGACATAGATGTTGATTCTGAAACACTGTGCCAAAGAATCCTAGGAATGTTCAGTGCTTATTAGTGACTGAAAAATAACATAAAACTTGTAGTGTATTTCCACTGAAATGTCAGACTTGATTTGCCCCAACAAAAAATGTATCAACCCCTACAAAAATGTCCATTAATTATAATCCACATAATAATTCACATTTCCTGTTGCTCCAGGATGATTTTCCTGCTGTAGCAAACTGGATCAAATTAAGATCCTATATCTGTATATTGAGTTGGTTTAGAGTAGACGTCTGTGTCAATGTATAGATGAATAATGATTTGAGTTAAGGTGAACATTGTGTTCAGGTGAGTTGTTGAGGCTCAAACGTGATTCATATGACTTACAGTGGAAAGGGAATAGCTTTGTGGTTCAGGGACAAGTCATAACGTGACTGTACATATAAGTACAAAAGACTTGCAAAGGTACCTCTATTATGCAAATGTTTTACATCTATGGGCAAAATCACAAATTATATCTTGACAGACAGATGGACAGAACTGCTGTAGCCATAGATCCCATGTGTAGAGCAGCTATATAGACGACATACACAAACACCGGCACACTCACAAACACTCCACATAAAACATCCTGAACATTACAAACTAACTCACTCTATGACAATGTTGTGTACAACTTAAGCCCAATTATAAATGCATAAATAGAGTTGTGTTGTGTCTCCTTTTCTTTGTTGAAATAGGCTAAGTACTGTCGCACTTCAAATCAAATTTTATTTGTCACATGCGCCAAAAACAACGGGTGCAGACTTAATCATGAAATGCTTGCTGACGAGCCCTTCCCAATGATGCAGAGTAAAAAAATACAGTGGCATTTTTCCTATTTTGTTGCCTTACAACCTGGAATTAAAATTGGTTTTTGGGGGTGTTTGTATCATTTGATATACACAACATTTTTAGGTGTGAAAAAAAAAACAGAAACCTTGAGCGTGCATAACTATTCACCCCCCAAAGTCAATACTTTGTAGAGCCACCATTTGCAGCAATTACAGCTGTAAGTCTCTTGGGGTATGTCTCTATAAGCTTGGCACATCTAGCCATTCTTCAAGGCAAAACTGCTCCAGCTCCTTCAAGTTGGATGGGTTCCGCTGGTGTACAGCAACCTTTAAGTCATACCACAGATTCTCAATTGGATTGAGATCTGGGCTTTGAGTAGGCCATTCCAAGACATTTAAATGTTTCCCCTTAAACCACTCGAGTGTTGCTTTAGCAGTATGCTTAGGGTCATTATCCTCCTGGAAGGTGAACCTCGTCCCAGTCTCAAATCTCTGGAAGACTGAAACAGGTTTCCCTCAAGAATTTCCCTGTATTTAGCGCCTTCCATCATTCCTTCAATTCTGACTAGTTTCCCAGTCCCTGCCGATTGAAAACATCCCCACGGCATGATGCTGCCACCACAATGCTTCACTGTGGGGATGGTGTTCTCGGGGTGATGAGAGGTGTTGGGTTTGCGCCAGACATAGCGTTTTCCTTGATGGCCAAAAAGCTCAATTTTAGTCTCATCTGACCAGAGTACCTTCTTCCATATGTTTGGGGAGTCTCCCACATGCCTTTTGGCGAACACCAAACGTGTTTGCTTATTTTTTTCTTTAAGCAATGGCTTTTTTATGGCCACTCTTCCATAAAGCCCAGCTCTGTGGAGTGTACGGCTTAAAGTGGTCCTATGGACAGATACTCCAATCTCCGCTGTGGAGCTTTGCAGCTTCTTCAGGGTTATCTTTGTTCTCTTTCTTGCCTCTCTGATTAATGCCATCCTTGCCTGGTCTGTGAGTTTTGGTGGGCGGCCCTCTCTTGGCAGGTTTGTTGTGGTGCCATATTCTTTCAATTTTTTAATAATGGATTTAATGGTGCTCCGTGGGATGTTCAAAGTTTCTGATATTTTTTTATAACCCAACCCTGATCTGTACTTATCCACAACTTTGTCCCTGACCTGTTTGGAGAGCTCCTTGGTCTTCATGGTGCCACTTGCTTGGTGGTGCCCCTTGCTTAGTGGTGTTGCAGACTCTGGGGCCTTTCCGAACAGGTGTTTATATACTGAGATCATGTGACAGATCATATGACACTTAGATTGCACACAGGTGGACTTTATTTAACTAATTATGTGACTTCTGAAGGTAATTGGTTGCACCAGATCTTATTTAGGGACTTCATAGCAAAGGGGTGAATACATATGCACGCTCCACTTTTCCGTTATTTATTTTTTAGAATTTTTTGAAACAAGTTATTTTTTTCATTTCACTTCACCAATTTGGACTATTTTGTGTATGTCCATTACATGAAATCCAAATAAAAATCCATTTAAATTACAGGTTGTAATGCAACAAAATAGGAAAAACGCCAAGGGGGATGAATACTTTTGCAAGGGTATGAGGTATTTGAGGTAGAAATGTTCATGATAATAATAAGAGTAAAATAAAGAGTAGCAGCAGCAAATCACATTTTATTCGTCACATGCTTACTTCCCAAATAGAGAAATAATTTTAAAAAATGTACTGAGTGGCTAACATAACCCTAACCCAAATCATGATATCATCCTTGGAATATATGTTATGTCTCTACAAAGTGAGGTCTCCCATAAACAGAAAAATATAGCAACACCCCAAAAATGACAGTGTTTACAAACCGAAGGGCAATGAAAAGATCCCACCTGAGATATGGCGTTAGAGAGGTGATAGTGAGAGTTATTTGCAGTGTTAGTCTCTCACATGGTAAATGAGGTGGCCATTCATTCAGATCCCCCTCAATGAGCTCAACTCCCCATGATGCCTCCTTAGGGACCTTACACTCCACACCGAATGTTGATCTGCCGTTCGTCTGCTGTTCGTTCGGCGTGGTGTGTTTTAGGTACCACCCTCTGGTGGACGTCTGACTGCCGACATTTTTGCGCGATTTAACTTGTAGAATCGATTAGCAAATGACAGACGGCACTCTGTTCAGACGTTTGAAGTGCTCTCGGCCAGCAAACGCTACCAGTGTGTCCGTGCCTTTTAGGCTAACCCTCTCCCCCACCCCCCCCACAAGTCCACCCACCCACATCAGAGACAAACAGAGGCAAACTTCCAGTCGAAGCTCGCATCCACTTCAAGACCCTGGTGCTTGCCTACAGAGCTGCAAGGAGAACTGCCCCTCCCTACTTTTAGGCTATGCTCAAACCCTGGTCTCTTGGCCGTCCCACCCCTACAGGGGTTCAGCTCCTGCTCAGCCCAGTCAAATCTCTTCTCTGTCTTGGCACCCCAATGGTGGAACAAGCTTCCCCCTAACGTCAGGACAGCGGAGGTTCTGCCCATCTTCCGAAAATGTCTGAAACCCTACCTCTTCAAAGAGTATCTTAAATAACCTACTAGCACTCTTTGCTGATAACTGCTTGGTTGATGGAAAATGTACTTACTATGACTGTGATATGTGGTTGTCCCACCTAGCTATCTTAAGATGAATGCACTAATTGTAAGTTGCTCTGGATAAGACCGTCTACTAAATGTAAACGTACTAAGGCACAGGCATGCCGAGCCAGACTGAAACATACTGCTTTAGAAAAACGGACACACACTCAAAAAGGAAAGATGCTGACTGGGAAACACACACAAATGAAGTCCAAAATAACACACCATGACAGTCACAACAACCTACACGCGCACGTACACACCAACACACACACACCAACACACACACCTCCTCCAGCTATGCCCTCAGAGAATGTGTGTGTGTGTGTGTGTGTGTGTGTGTAATCATCCTGTGCATTAGTACTTCTCTACATTAAAATTCCTCATGGCTATAGGACGACAGGGCTTTCTGGGAGGCCTTAAATTAGCACCCCGGTGTCGAGTGGAGGGTTACCCCAGGCCAAGCCAGTCTGTCACAAGTCTGCCCCCCACCTCACATCTCCCTCTCGGTCCACAGCTGTCCACTCACAACGACACAGACACTAGTACGAAACTATACTCAATATTATGCCAGTTGAAGGTATTGGAGAGGTTTAACAACTCCTAGAGAGTGTAATCAAGAAGTTAGAGACAGAAGTCTTTGGTATGATATTGCTTCACATATTGCATGTCACTAACATGGCTTAAAGGGTTGACATTCTTCAGAAGCGTGTATTTCCTATAGACTTGAGGTGGTAGAGCTCTCTGGAATGGTCAGCATTAATGGCTAGTTCTTACCCTCCTCTCTGTCTCTTTGTGTGTCTGAGCAGCCGTCCCATCGTCCATTGGTGATGTCAGAGTGGACGCCATGCAGAGTCTGAGTCGGCAGGGCAGGGATGTCACAGATCACCCAGGGTTCTGTGGCTCAGGCTGGGGCATGCAGGAAGACTACAGGAGCACACGTACCTACTCACCCTGCGTACCTCACTCACAGGTACCTGAACATACTGAAACCCTGACTCACTGACTCCCAATGTCTGTCATTACCTTCTCATTTAGAACAGATTATGGGAGGCGCACGGTACTACATAGAGCCATGGCTACATGGAACTCTATTCCACATCAGGTAACTGATGCAAGCAGTAGAATCAGATAAAGAAAACAGATAAAAATAGACTGTGAAGAGACATACACACAGACACACATACTGTACACATGATAAGACAGGCACTCTACACACACGTACACATGGATGTTGTATTGTAAATATGTGATAGTGGAGTAGTTGCCTGAGGGAACACACTAAATGTATTGGGTAAATAATATGCCATTTAGCAGACGCTTTTATCCAAAGCGACTTACAGTCATGCGTGCATAAATTTTTGTGTATGGGTGGTCCCGGGGATCGAACCCACTACCTTGGCGTTACAAGCGCCGTGCTCTACCAGCTGAGCTACAGAGGACCAGTGTTATCAAAGTTATCAAAGTAAAGTGTTATCAAATGTAATGTAATGTAATGTAATATTTTAAATTGTACATAATTGCCTTAATGTTGCTCGACCCCAGGAAGAGTAGCTGCTGCCTTGGCAGCAGCCAATGGGGATCCTTAATAAATACAAAATTCAAAAATTGCCTTGCTTGTCATGATGTGCACTATTAAGTGCTGTGTACCATTTCTGCTGTGTACAATGTGGTGATGTTCACACGCATGTTTTTGCTGTGTGTGTGTGTTTCAGCATGGCATGCTGTACAGGAGTGACAGTGTGGACTACAGAGCTCAAGGTCCAGAGATGGACAGTGGAGTGGAGGCTGTTAGTGACATGACTCCTCCTACTCCTGCCTTCCCAATCTCTCCCCCTACACCTTACGGTAAGAGCCTCCTTCCTTGTCTTGTGCCTCTTTTCAAAGGTTTGTGTGTGATTGCATATGATGGTGCTTGTGATCGTTGCTGAATGACTGGATTTTAAACCTCATCTCTTCTTCTATCTTTCCAAAGTGAAAAACATGCCGGAATTCACTCACCTGAGGCAATCTCCATCTCCCAGCATGCAATCCTACGGAACCTACAGGATGGAGCAGGGTAGGTCATGGCTGTGTGTATCACAGCACTAACATTCTCATTCATTCATTCTTCATACAGATGACGTGAGATAAATGTTTAAATATATTCCATAATACAATGGATTACATCAGTACTCAAAATATACTTTTATTTTCAGAGTAGAGAACAATCCACAGAAATACCACTAATCTCTACATAAAGTGTATGGATATATTGAAATGTCAGGCCATTGTGAGGGGAATGTATTATGTGGCACTTGAACTTTGACAAAGCCATTTGATTGGAGGAGTCAGACTGTAGGGCAGTGGAACAATGGATAAGTGGTCTATGTAGGGAATAGAGTGAAGGAGTCTATTCCACTCATTCCCTCTCATCCTCCTCTCCCTCTGTACTTCATCACTCTATTAAAGACAGAAAGTGGGTGACAGACAAAGAGAGTGAGTGAGAGAAATAGCTCTAGGAGACGGAGCCCAGTGACAGGCAGTATGCTCTGATATAGTATGAGGGTTTGAATTTAAGTAAGTGGTTTAAGTGTGTTCGGTGTTCATCACAGCTTTTTGCCATCATGAGAACATCTCTCGGAATGTAATCGACCATAGCTCTTTTATGTGTAAATTATGTTTCTGTGTTTATATATTCCCACGGGGGGCCAGTATAAAAGAAAAATATATGTATTCACTAACTGTAAGTCGCTCTGGATAAGAGCGTCTGCTAAATGACGTAAATGTAAATATATATTTATATTTTCCTGTGGTATTGCACCATTGCTGGTCACTTTTCCATAACTAATCTATGATCCTTGACCTGTAGTTGAGGATATTGTGGTGGTTGGAGGCAGTGCACTAAACAAAGCCTTCTCATGGACTGCCTCCATTCCCTGGGGGTTCCATACAAGTCTCTCTCCTCCCATGGTCGGTTTGGAAAACATCTGTATGGTTTCAGTCCTGAAATTAAACAGTTTTTTATAGCACATAGTGGCGAAGCCTCGAATGACTAAAACAGTTTAATTTTCTGTTTGTGTGGAGTCTTGTTGTGGTCTTAGATGTTTCTCAGTGGTGGAACACACCCAGTTATCTAAATGGTTGTTCTCAGAGATTGGGAGTGATGTTTTGATTTATCATGTACTGGCATACAGTGCCTTGCAAAAGTAGTCATCCCCCTTGGCGTGTTTCCTATTTTGTTGCATTACAACCTGTAATTTAAATGGATTTTTATTTGGATTTCATGTAATGGACATACACAAAATAGTCCTAATTGGTGAAGTGGAATGAAAAAAATAACTTGTTTCAAAAAATTCTAAAAAATAAATAATGGAAAAGTGGTGCGTGCATATGTATTCACCCCTTTGCTATGAAGCCCCTAAATAAGATCTGGTGCAACCAATTACCTTCAGAAGTCACATAATTAGTTAAATAAAGTCCACCTGTGTGCAATCTAAGTGTCTCATGATCTGTTACATGATCTCAGTATATATACACCTGTTCTGAAAGGCCCCAGAGTCTGCAACACCACTAAGCAAGCGGCACCACCAAGCAAGCGGCACCATGAAGACGAAGGAGCTCTCCAAACAGGTCAGGGACAAAGTTGTGGAGAAGTACAGATCAGGGTTGGGTTATAAAAAAATTGAGTATCTGTCCATAGGACCACTTTAAGCCGTACACTCCACAGAGCTGGACTTTACAGAAGAGTGGCCAGAAAAAAAGCCATTGCTTAACGAAAAAGTTATGCACGCTCAAGTTTTTTTGTCTAATTTCTTGTTTGTTTCACAATAAAAAATATTTTGCATCTTCAAAGTGGTAGGCATGTTGTGTAAATCAAATGATACAAACCCCCCCAAAATCAATTTTAATTCCAGGTTGTAAGGCAACAAAATAGGAAAAATGCCAAACATAATCAGACATGGCATAGGTCCCTTCTGTGGTTCCCTCCCTCTGAAACAAGTCATAAAGAGGGTTTTTGTTCCAAATCCAGTTGAGTAGTTGGCAGAGTTTTGCCGTCCTATCGTGACTGTGGGTCATTTGTGAGGCATGTCAGTGATGATATCAGAGGTTACACTCACACACACGCAGTGAGACTCATAGAGGTGACCTTCATGTTCGTCTCTTTGTCCCCCTTTGACCCCCAACCAGCCTGTTGTCATGGCGATCTGTGTCAGAGCGGGTTATGAGAGTGACAGCGCCCCCAGACTAATCTGTGCCCCCACTGTACCCACTTTACCCAAGCACGCACCGCGTATAGAATCACCGCATTCAGACATGCCACGTAACCATGGTTACGCAGGGTCGAGGAATCGGGTGCACAAAAACACTTTTCTTTCCCCAGTGAAAGTACCTCTGTGTCAATAGAAGGGGCGAGGGACAAAAAGAAACCAGTCCCCCTCTCTCTCGTCTCGTTGTTTGCCTTGTCCTCCACATTCCCATGGAGGTAACTGGTAACCCATGGAAACTTCAGTCAGTCACTGAGCTGTATGGAATCAGTGGACTGGAAACATGTGGTTTCAGGTTCTGGGGGCAGGCACATAGAAATATAATTAGTAGAACGGGTGTTCCCATTCAAGTCAATGATGGCATAATGGGTGGACTGGCGGCCATTGCGAGTGTACCCATAGGAGCAAAGAAGAAAGTAAAAGCAGGAAGTAAAAGCAGGAAGTGTAGCCATCAATATGTGCTGTGATTTGTTGATTCAACTCAACTGATGTTACAAACAAATGCATTCCATTGCATGAGCCACATCAGTTAACATCATTTGAATGAACATTGTACAATACCATGGTAATTATTGCATGATAATACCAGGCAGCCATTGCAAGTGTACCAATGAGTTTACCAGTCAAATTTATATGGGCAGATACCTGTCAGTGCTTCCAGAGCAATGATATATGAAATAAAAGCTTTACTCAATTATGTCTGGGGGCTTTTAATTTCTGCTTGAATGAATGAGTCTGATTTATTGACTCAGTGGTGCTGCCTGCTAGGCAGCAGTAAGGCCTGCCAGGCAGAGTAATCTGCTCCGTACTGAACAGATCGATAAATGTACTGTTGAGCTAGCAGCAGACTGACTGACTGACTGACTGACTGGAGAGTGATTTAACTAACACCACTGCTGACTGCTCTGTTTGGTATTGGATGTACTCTATTATACTGCACCTGGGGGGAGAGCGCTTTTATTTGACTGAAATTCTTAAGGTTATGATTAAGAGTTTAGCCATTATTGCCCCGTTTTTGTTCATGTGATATCCAGATGTTTTTGGAGAAATTGGTTGTGTATTTATTTTGGAGTGTCGGTCAATAGACTGTCTGAAAGACGTTTAGTGCATTCTAGCCCTAGTCCTTGAATGTACAGTATTTATCCTATATGTGTAATTTGTCATGTATGCCCTCTCACACCCCCACAGAGCCTCACGGTTACTTAGAGATGATTGGTCACGTTCCCCAGTCCACAGATGAGGGTCTGCCAGACTCCTCCCCCAGCTGCCATAGGTCCTTCGGCTTCTCTCGCTCAGACTTCATGAGTGGGACGCTCCAACGGACAGACAGGTATAGCCAATCACAAACAAGCCTTCTGCATAATTATTAGAAGCTTAGTTCATGTTTATTCAAAAGGTCCTTTCTTGGAATATAATAAGTAGACGGTTATGGACCCAATCACTTTGCTTTTTATATATACTGAAGAAAAATATAAATGCAACATGTAAAGTGTTGGTCCCATGTTTCATGAACTGAAATAAAAGATCCCATACATTTTCCATAGGCACAAAAGCATATTTAGCTCAAATTATGGCCACAAATGTGTTTACATCCCTGTTAGTGAGCATTTCCATTTGCCAAGATAATCCATCCACCTGACAGGTGTGGCATATCAAGAAGCTGATTAAACAGCATGATCATTACACAGGTGCACCTTGTGCTGGGGACAATAAAAGGCCACTCTAAAAAGTGCAGTTTTGTCACACAACACAATGACACACATCTCAAGTTTTGAGGGAGCGTGCAATTGGCATGCTGATTGCAGGAACGTCCGCCAGAGCTGTTGCCAGATAATTGAATGTTCATTTTTCTACCATAAGCCACCTCCAAAGTCGTTTTAGAGAATTTGGCAGTACGTCCAACCAGCCTCACAACCACAGACCACATGTAACCATGCCAGCCCAGAACCTACACATTTGGCTTCTTCACCTGCGGGATCGTCTGAGACCAGCCACCCGGACAGCTGATGAAACTGAGGAGTATTTCTGTCTGTAATAGAGCCCTTTTGTGGGGCAAAACTCATTCTGATTGGCTGGGCCTGGCTCCCAAATGGATGGGCCTATGCCCTCCCAGGCCCACCAATGGCTGTGCCCCTGCCCAGTCATGTGAAATCCATAGCTTAGGGCCTAATGAATTTATTTCAATTGACTGATTTCCTTATATGAACTGTAACTCAGTAAAATCATTGAAACTGTTGCATGTTGTGTTTATATTTTTGTTCAGTATAATTATGGTTATAGGCTACATGTTCTGAAAATACATTATGGTCATACAGTTTGATTACAGATGTGTTTTTAAATTATCTTCTAATTTTGGTGTTCTTCCTCCTGTCTCCAGCCCCTCCATGGGTCAGCCCTGGCCAGAGGACAGAGCCCTCCTGAGCCGCCACGCCTCCCTCAGCACCTGCCCCCCCCCCCAGGCAATCCCCTCCCCACTCAATGTCCTTGGACTACGGACACCTCTCCCCTCCCATGCACCCCCACCCGGCCCCCAATGCCCACAGCTCCCCCCGGGGCAGCCAGCGGAGCCACATGGCCCGCTACGCCCTTACCCACAGCCCCGTACACAGCTTCGATGAGCAGGACGACTCAGGCCTGGGGGGCTACGGCGCCGCCGACTGCCCAGCCTCTGCCTCTCCTCTTCTGGGGAACGGAGGCATGGAGAGGGGGATGTTGATGTCGGGCTCCATGGACCAGCAGGGCACCATCCGGACCCAGCAGCACCAGCAGCTCCAGGCCCAGGGGGCCTTGCCTCCTCTGCTGCCTGAGAAGAGGAGGGCGTCAGACGGGGAGCACTCCCTGTGCACGGCCTCCCCAGCCCCCAGCGGGTTCTCCAGCCCACACAGCGGGAGCTCTCTCAGTATCCCCTTCCCCAACGTCCTGCCTGACCTCTCAGCCTCTGCACAGATGCCGGGCACTGCCTCACCTCTACCAGGTAACCCCCTAGCTAGCGCAGTCAATAGCCAATCACTTATATGAGCCAATTGCTTGGGTTGGTGCAATACTTCAAAGAAGGTAATCTGTACTGTATCCTTTAGGTACTGCCCTGTGAGTGTTCTCTGTCAATTTGGATTTGCCACATATGGATGTCTTTTAAACTTAGTGATTTAATTCCTGAGTTCTATCTGCATTTGCTTACCTCTGGTGTGTTTGTGATACTCTATTTCCAGATGTCCTGACCATCAAGCAGGTGACTGTAAAATTTGTGCAAGACACATCGAAATTCTGGTACAAGCCTGATATCTCCAGGGACCAAGGTAAAAACATTAGGAAATACGTGTCTTGTCTCCCAAGTGTATTTTGTCTGCTGAATTTCCATGATGCTCTTCAACATTTTGAAAGTGTTGGGAGATTTTGACAGTTTTAGAGTTTCCAATTTACACACTCTTCCATGACACTGTCATTAAAATATCTTCCTGTGTCCTCCTCTCCTCCTTTACTCCTCTTCTCCTCCTCTCCTCCTCTCAGCTATCTCAGTCCTGAAGGACAAAGAGCCTGGGTGTTTCATTGTACGAGACAGCCACTCCTTCAGAGGTGCCTATGGGCTGGCCATGAAGGTGGCCACACCCCCTCCCTCAGTCCTGCAGCAGACCAAGAGAGGTAGGCATTGGCTGAAAGATATAAATGGGCCAAGCTTTGGGTCAACTCAGAGCGGTTTCTGTTTGATGTAGGAAATGGGAGTAGGATGATGATTGACGAAGCCCATATATGCTGATCTAGGTCAGTTTTGTGTTCACCCATGGTCATGGTTAGAATTGATGGATGATAAGCTGATCCTAGATCTGTGCATACGGTCAGGTTCCACCCGGTTCCCGAACCTTTCTGTGTTCTAGAAGGCCCCAGTAGAACAGGGGTATCATGGAATGGGCCAACTGAGGGGCAGCATCCTGGGAATCAAACAATAACAATCACCATAAAGCCCTCTACTATTATACCCCTATGAACTTACTTCCATGGAGGGAACATGATAGTCCCCTTTTTGTCCCCTCTCTGTACAGCTCCTAGCTTTGGTTCTCTCTTCTGGACAGTATCGTGATAGAGCCAAGCAGCCCTTCTCTTTTCCAAGTAGTCTTAGATGTGGCGGCTAGTGTTTCAAGACAAACACTGCACTGATTTCAGGACTTTCTCCAGAGATGCCTTACATACTGTACTGTAACTTTACTTGACATACGCCTGCTAAAGAAAACAGCAAAGACCAGCATAGGCTGGTGACCAGCCTTCATTGTGTTTTCGCTGGTGACTAGCCTGACCAGCCTTAGTTGTGATTTCGTTGGTGACCAGCTTTTGTTGTGTTTTCGCTGGTGACCAGCCTTCATTGTGTTTTCGCTGGTGACCAGCCTGACCAGCCTTAGTTGTGTTTTCGTTGGTGACCAGCTTTTGTTGTGTTTTCGCTGGTGACCAGCCTTCTTTGTGTTTTCACTGGGGACCAGCCTTTGTTGTGTTTTCGTTGGTGACCAGCTTTTGTTGTGTTTTTGCTGGTGATCAGCCTTCGCTGTGTTTTTGCTGGTGATCAGCCTTCGCTGTGTTTTGGACACATAAGCTGGTCACCCGCAAAACCAGCATCAAGTCACATTATGCTGTCTTTTAAAGTGATGTCTAATTCCTATTGGAATCCAGTCTGAATGGCGTTATCCAAAATTTTTAACTTTATTCACCCACAATCTGCATTCAAAACGACTGCCAGGGTTACCATTTCAGTAATGAGTGCATTAAGTCCAACTAACAGATTGGATTAGTTTAAAAAAAAATTATGCTATTTATCTCTGTGTAGCACGAAAGGTGAAATATATGTAATTGTGTAAATGTCTAGCAGTTATGTCTAGATTTTTTTAAAGCCCTGGATAGCCCACAGACGCTATAAACAGGGTCCCTGTAGGAACACAATTGCTTTGCAGCATGTTCAGGATTCCTTTCAAAAGTGAGTCAGTATACCATTTGAATAAACTAGATATCCTACATAGTGTTATGTAATTGCAGCATTACCGCAAAAATGGAAGAGGAAAGTGGAAGGGGTAAAAGTAAGGAACTTGTCTGTCGGCCCTGCATTAAAGAACATAATTGGTTAAAGAAAATTGTGAAAAAAAAGTATACCAGTTTCATTTAAGGACCAAAGGTTTGACTAGCTTAGTGGTTAAGAGCGTTGTGCCAGTAACCGAAAGGTTGCTGGTTCTAATCCCCGAGCCGACTAGGTGAAAAATCTGTTGATGTGCCCTTGAGCAAGGCACTTAACCCTAATTGCTCCTGTAAGTCGCTCTGGATAAGAGCGTCTGCTAAATGACCAATTATTATTATATTATATTATTATATATAGATTGCAAAATCTATATGTACCGATTCCATGGCATAGTGTTTATGAACTGATACGCAAAACGACGCCAGATTCAAAACTTAGAATTTTTCAATATAAATTATTATACAAAATTCTTACTACCAATATAATGTTGTTTATATGGGGGTGCCTTATGTTACCACTCCATCCTTTTCTTTAGGCTAAGCTACTAGCTACACAGGCTACAATAGTGTTTTATGAAACCTGAACGCACTATGTTACTAACATTATAGCAATAACTACACATTCTAGCTATACCAATAACACCAATAATCAATACAAATATCCAATGCTGCTACTTGCAAGTAATCTCCAGCAACAGTGAGGCCATCCCTTGCTTGCTCGTATGCATCTTCCACTAAAACAAGTCCACACGCTGAACAGCAACTAGCCATGATGGGGTCTAAGCATTTCAGTGGGGGATGGGCAGTGCTGGCTATGTATATGTGACTCAAATACTATCAGGATAGATTAAAGGGGATGCTGTTTAATGGTAAAAACCTATCCAATTGTTTACTAGATCGACACAAAAAGTGCAGCGCACCAGTAGATCACGTGTGCCTTGCATATAAGCCGCGCGCGAACACTGTGTTGTCTGAGGGGGCCGACCTCCTTGTTGTTGGAATTTTAGTTATTTTGCCATGGGGCAGAGAGAAGAATGTGCAGTTTTATAGCTAATCTCATGCTATTTTACACATTTTGCCATGAGGCTGAGAAAATGTTGCTGTTTTAGAGCTAATTTCCTGGTATTCTACACATTATGCCATGAGGCTGAGAGAAAATGTTGCAGTTTTAAAGCAAATTTCCTGTAAAACAGGAGAAAGTATGAGACAAGATAAAGTTGGCTGGTTTCAAGATAAGTTCTCTCAATATAATGTAATAAACATATTTCTTCCAAAATAATAAAGGATCAATTATCTGGTTCATTACAATTGCTTTGTTGAAAAATATAAATTCACAGTTCTCATCATCAATAGAAAAATATACATTCACATCCTATGTTCAGTCTCTTTAACAGTACATATACAGTGCCTTCAGAAAGTATTCACACCCCTTTTCTTTACATTTTAGTCATTTAGCAGACGCTCTTATCCAGAGCGACTTACAGTTAGTGAGTGCATACATTTCTTTCATACTGGCCTCCCGTGGGAATCGAACCCACAACCCTGGCGTTGCAAGCGCCATGCTCTACCAACTGAGCTACACGGGGGGGCCTTGACTTGCTTCACATTTTGTTGTGTTTAAAATGGATTAAATTGAGATTTTTGGGGGTTACTGGACTACACACATTACCCCATAATGTCAAAGTAGAATAATGTTTTTTTTAAAGATTTTTACAAATTCATTAAAAATGAAAAGTTGAAATGTCTTGAGTAAATAACTATTCAACCCCTGTGTTATGGCAAGCCTAAATAAGTTCAGGAGTAAAAATTTGCTTAACAAGTAACATAATATGTTCCATGGACTCCGTGTGCAATAATAGTGTTTAACATGATTTTTAAATGACTATCTCATCTCTGTACCCCACACATACAATTATCTGTAAGTTCCCTCAGTCGAGCAGTGAATTTCAAACACAGATTCAACCACAAAGACCAGGGAGGTTTTCCAATGCCTCGCAAAGGGCACCTATTGGTAGCAGACATTGAATATCCCTTTGAGCATGGTGACGTTATAAATTACACTTTGCATGGTGTATCAATACAGAGTTTAATGGCTGTGATAGGAGAAAACTGAGGATGGATCAACAACATTGTAGTTACTCCACAATGCTAACCTAATTGACAGAGTGAAAACCAGTGGTGTAAAGTACTTAAGTAAAAATACTTTAAAGTAATACTTAAGTACTTTTTGGGGGTATCTGTACTTTACATTACTATTTATATTTTTGCCAACTTTTACTCTTACTTCACTACATTCTTAAAGAAAATAATGTATTTTTTTACTCCATACATTTTCCCTGACACCCAAAAGTACTCGTTACATTTTGACAGGTAAATGGTCCAATTCACACACTTATCAAGAGAACATCCCTGCTCATCCCTACTGCCTCTGATCTGGTGGACTCACTAAACACAAATGCTTTGTTTGTAAATTATGTCTGAGCGTTGGAGTGTGATCCTGGCTATCCGTCAATAAAAATAAACAAGAAAATTGTGCCGTCTGGTTTACTTAAATGGTTTATACTTTTACTTTTGATACTTAAGTACATTTGAGCAATTCAAATCAAATCAAATCAAATCAAATCAAATTGTATTGGTCACATGCGCCGAATACAACAGGTGCAGACATTACAGTGAAATGCTTACTTACAGCCCTTAACCAACAGTGCATTTATTTTTTACAACAAAAGTAAAAATAAAACAACAACAAAAAAAAGTGTTGAGAGAAAAAAGAGCAGAAGTAAAATAAAGTGACAGTAGGGAGGCTATATATACAGGGGGGTACCGTTGCAGAGTCAATGTGCGGGGGCACCGGCTAGTTGAGGTAGTTGAGGTAATATGTACATGTGGGTAGAGTTAAAGTGACTATGCATAAATAATTAACAGAGTAGCAGCAGCGTAAAAAGGATGGGGTGGGGGGGGCAGTGCAAATAGTCCGGGTAGCCATGATTAGCTGTTCAGGAGTCTTATGGCTTGGGGGTAGAAGCTGTTGAGAAGTCTTTTGGACCTAGACTTGGCACTCCGGTACCGCTTGCCGTGCGGTAGCAGAGAGAACAGTCTATGACTAGGGTGGCTGGAGTCTTTGACAATTTTGAGGGCCTTCCTCTGACACCGCCTGGTATAGAGGTCCTGGATGGCAGGAAGCTTGGACCCAGTGATGTACTGGGCCGTACGCACTACCCTCTGTAGTGCCTTGCGGTCGGAGGCCAAGCAGTTGCCATACCAGGCGGTGATGCAACCAGTCAGGATGCTCTCGATGGTGCAGCTGTATAATTTTTTGAGGATCTGAGGACCCATGCCAAATCTTTTCAGTCTCCTGAGGGGGAATAGGCTTTGTCGTGCCCTCTTCACGACTGTCTTGGTGTGTTTGGACCATGATAGTTCGTTGGTGATGTGGACACCAAGGAACTTGAAGCTCTCAACCTGTTCCACTACAGCCCCGTCGATGAGAATGGGGGCGTGCTCAGTCCTCTTTTTTTTCCTGTAGTCCACAATCATCTCCTTTGTCTTGGTCACGATGAGGGAGAGGTTGTTGTCCTGGCACCACACGGCCAGGTCTCTGACCCCCTCCCTATAGGCTGTCTCATCGTTGTCGGTGATCAGGCCTACCACTGTTGTGTCGTCTGCAAACTTAATGATGGTGTTGGAGTCGTGCCTGGCCATGCAGTCATGG